GTTACACATTAATTGTTCATTAGAGTTTCGACAGAGTTTCGACAGTCATTAAGAGGTTTCGCCCACAACCTTAGGTGGAACATCATCTGATTTCGAGAAACTAGATCCTCATGGTAACAAACTATACTTTCTACTCCCACCTCTTCACTTTGAGTCATTCACTAAGAAAACACCACAAACAATCAATCAGTTTGGAATTCTTATTCCCTATCCTGAAAAAGTTCAATAAGTTGTTATATTGACTGGATAAACATCATTAATTTGCTACATATTTTATTTCAGAATTTAACTCTTTACATGATATGCATTGTCATATTATATATAAATATTCTTTAAAAATCTGTTAGTTACCAATAATTTGAGTAGGAGTTATGTTTGAGTTTCAAAATTCATTCAATTGTAAATTTTATTATGTGATTAGGTCATCAAATGATTAATAACATACTTAACCCAGTATTGTCATAGAATTTCCACTAATATTTTTGAATTATAAATCGTGTGCATGTGAAAATTTTTATGGTAGTGATAACTTGCATGTAATCTTTTGTTATGATAAAATTATTTGTAAACATGAATAAATAAAAACAAATCTTTTAAAGACTATGATTATGTTACTATTTTACATTCTAGGATTCTATACTGTTGTGGGATTTAGATCACCTGGAAGAACAATTGGGTACTTAAAACAGAGGCTTTCTTTCGATTTGGTTAAGTAAAGCATTTTTACAACTATATTTTTAGCTGATCAAAATCAAATATCATAATCAAATTTGTCCTATTTGGAAAAAATCAGCATCTATTTTTTTTCGCAAGAAAAAATTCATTATCAATCATGCTACATTACCACTACCAGTAATGAACCTACTATTACCAATCATGTCAAATATATAGTGGCAAATTCTAAAACTCTGTGGTTAAAATACCAATTGCATATGATACAATTTCCAGAAAATAATAGGAAATATTGACAAATTGTACTAAAAGCAGCAAAAGAATCTTATTCAGAAGAAATTCATTTTTCTTAAAACTTTGTTTGGGTCTGGGACACCCACTTTACCAACAGGACACTTTACCAACAGGACACTTCACCAACAAGACACTTCACCAACAGGACACTTTACCAACAGGACACTTTACCAACAGGACACTTTACCACAAGACACTTTACCAACAGGACACTTTACCAACAATCTAAGTAAAGTTGAACTTGACATAGAAATGGTCTTGCGAGGAACACCACAACCTCCACAGAAACTACAAGATCGTAATTGTGAAATATGGGTTCAAACAGTATTAAATGACCATAACATTAGATCAACTATAAAGTTTCTTCAGGGCATTGCCCATAATATTTCATTTTAAAATTTTTTTTTGTTATTTTTTTAAAAATTATTTTTTGTGTAAAAATAATAATAATTAATGTGTCACAATAAAAGTTTTTGATAAATAAATTTAACAAAAAAAAAATATATTACACATGCATTTATATTGTATTTTTATGAACTTGTTTTTGATGCAAAGTAAGGATAATAAGTGGTGTTATTAGTTAATTAATGGTTGATTTAATTTGTTGTAAAAAACCAAATTTTTAGCTAGTTATCCAGGTATTCACACAGTCCTTGGCAAATTGTTAACACAATACTTGTCAGTAAAGTGTCCTGTTGGTAAAGTATCTTGTTGGTAAAGTGTTCTGTTGGCAAAGTGTCCTGTTGGTGAAGTGTCCTGTTGGTGAAGTGTCCTGTCAGTGAAGTGTCCTGTTGGTGAAGTGTCCTGTTGGTAAAGTGTCTTGTTGGTAAAGTGGGTGTCAGTAAAGTGTCCTGTCAGTAAAGTGGGTGTCAGTAAAGTGTCCGGGTCCACTTTGTTTTCTCTCATGATTTTTTTTGTATAATGATTATAACATTTACATCTATCTTTCTATCTATGTTTTGGTGATTTTTTAATGATAAAAGGTTTAAACAGGGAATTATTGTTTCTAAAGTGTTTGAGCCCTGGTTTTAATATTACAAAATTTGAAGTTGAATTTTAAAAAATGCAAATGTTTAAATATCAATTAATTCATAAAATTTAAAGTCAAGTATCATTGCTCTTTTTTTGATTAACTAGAGCAACAATAATAGTTGTGTTATTAGCATAAGACCAGAGATCAAAATTTTTTTTATTATCATAAAATTTATTTATGTATACCTACATTAGAATTTTAAATTTGATTTTGAATGAATTGAATTGGAAATGTTATTATTAATCTTATACCTTGAAATAAATTAATAAAGTATTATTTTGTAGGATGTGATGAAGTCTATTCCAACATGAGCAACAAGAAACTAGTTGTAAGTGTGGTTGTTCCCATAATACCTATATTTTCAAAATCAATTATTTTAGTGCACAATGACAATAATTTTTTTTTAAGTTTGGATGGAAAGTCTGTGTTCATTTTGTTATAAAAAACCTTGTTAATCTTTGACCGTATAAATACAAATAAGGAAATATCTTGCATAAAAGACCAATGTTGTGACCCTAAACCCATTTGGCTCCCCAAAACAGTTTCGGTAAGCCGTCTAGTTTAAGTTTCAGGTTACAAAACCTAACCCTTACCCATACCCAAAACCTAATCCCATATCCGAAACCCCTAAACCTTACCAAAACTTAAATACATATCCAAAACCTAATTATTCTCAATTCAAACCAATAATTCCACTTGTTATTTATTTGAATTTGAGAAATGTAACTATTTGTGTTCAGGGCAATGAAAGTAATAGTGAATCCATTGATACAGAATCAGATATTGATCTTGACAATTATGAATATTATGATAACCATAATAGAGATATTGATTTTCTAATAGAAGATTACATAGATTTAAATAATTCTTTATTTAATTATGAAGGTAGTAACAAAAATGAAATTGATATAAGGTAGAGAATTTACAACATAATGAAAATTATGAATATAATCCCAATGATTTGGTTTCCAATTTTTTTGATGTGATATATGAAAATGATATTAATACTGCAAAAAGAAAAAAATTAATTATGAATGTGATACTGGCGAGGAAGGTTTGGATTATGATTCATATAATTTAGGTTTTGATATTGAGACAGAAATTGCAACAAAAATAATGATGATGAAATTCAAAGTTCTGAAGAAATTAATGGTGGGGGTTGAAAATAACATGGAAGCAATGATGAAAATTCAGATAATAATGATAGTATTGAAATTAATGAAGATAAAAGAAAAAAATCTAAAAATTTAAAAATTTATTCTAATTTAAACTTTATTAATTCTTTTTCTTAATGTAAATTTTTTCTTTGGTGTATTTTTAAATCCATCTTGAAATAAAATCAATTGCAATAAAAATTAACTTTGACATAAAAAATAGTTGTAAAAATAGTTCAGAAAATTGTTGGTATAAAGTTTGTGTTTTGGTATAAAATTAGTTTCAGCAAGAGTTTTGGTAAGAATTTAGGTTTTGGACTAGGGTTTAGGTTTTGGTGATTTTTTGTGTTTCAGTATGGGTTTGGTAAGAGTTTAGGTTTCGGGTAAGGGTTTAGGTTTCAATAAGGTTTAGTATTAAGCAAGCTATACATTTAAACAATATATATGATTTATGAACTGCTAATTCAGATATCTTTTCTGTGAATTGGAATATTTATAGTTTTGCGGATATTTATTTACTGATTTTTATATACTGTATATTCATTTACTAATGCAACGAGTCTTTTTAACCAATTAAATTATTATTACCATTTAGCTTTCTTAGACATAAATATATCCAATACGTAAGGTTTTTACGGTGATGGTAATAGCTTAGCCAATATTAAATCACTAAACTATTAATAAATATATAAAAGTACCAAGAGATAGTTGCTTGGTCTCGTGGAACATATCGATTATCCTTACTATTGCTCTGTTTAAGCTGGCATTCATGTAATTCTACATTTATTTAATAAATGAATTCGGCCTACAAAAAATTTTAACAAAAAAATAACAATTAAAGAGTTTAGAAAAGACATACTTACTTTGTATGCGAATTATATTTTATGGGTTTGATGTTTATTCAGCTACTAGCGTACGTCTATAACCCCAAACTTAAATTAAGCACAATCACAGCCCCAAGGATAATATATCGTGATATACTGCGACACTGGAACTCAATTACATTGGGATTATCTTAATTGTCATCAGGACAATTCCACAGTTGGAATCTCAAGCCGCTTTTTATTGGGCACGGGTTTGAATACGGGTGTTATTAGTATCCAACGTTTTTTCAAAACAAATATTATTTCAATTTGTTGTTTTGAAGAGATGGACCATTATCATATGTATTTCCAACAAAAAAAATTACTTCCATCACTCAAAGTCTATATGAAAATTATATCATGGCCAGTCATTTAACATTCAAAAGATCCGAGATGATTGTAATTCGTCTGAAAATGTTAAAAAGTTTTGGTACATCATAAAAAGAGGGGACACATTGCAAAATCATGTCTATGCTAAAATAATTTGCAATAATGTTGTGTATAAATACAATAATCTAAATCAAAATATCCAAGTTCGCTTCTGGGGAAACATTCCAGTTCTATTTTGATTGCTTAAAATTTATATGATGCTAAAAATTCTTTTAATAATAAATTTCTGAATAATCTTGCGCCATAGATTGAATTCTAGGCTTTCACTCGATACTATGCCTAAAAATTGATAGATTTTGAGTAATTAAAAAGATTTTTGTTGTGAATAACAATGATATCATCATCTAAACTCCTTCCCTATATAGATAATGGAAGCTCGTGTGAATAATTACTTGAATGTTTAGCAAATATAACACCATCCCAAAAAACTTTTCTTACTAAATTGTTTGCTCATTTAAAGAGTTTGTAGTTAATGTTAAAAGCTAGTAATGATTCATGCCAGAAGTAGTCTCATTTCTATTTATTGCTATATATATATATATATATATATAATATAAATGAAATATTATTGGCACAACCTTGTCTTATATTTTTTTTATAAATCGATAGTTATTAAAGTTAACTTGATGACTGTTCATTTAGTTTTCCTTAACTTAACAAAAACATATAGTAGAAGACAAGAATTCGTAACTTTACTTATAGAATTCGCAACATATATTGAACTTCACATTACCTTTTCAGCAAAACTTTATTAACAAAAGTTATCAAAAGCACACCGTTTGATGGCCTTAATCCTAGAGAGTATATATACAAAGTTTTGTTTAAATTTCGCAACTTTACAAAGTTTTATTTGTTCAAACCTTAAAATTGTCGTGTGATTTTTTTTCCATGATAAACCGTGTAACCGAACTCTTGTATAATAATATTAATATATGGCGTAGTCGAATTTCGAACTTTCAAAAAATGCCAAAAATTGTTTCAAGTTCCACAATCTCTTCTTCTGAACAAGTTAATAAGCGCCCTGAACAACATCTCCACGTATATTATTGTCTATGCAGTGAATTTATTTTAGTCATAGGTATATATGTATTTATATTTATATTAACTAATTAAATAGTAATAACTAATTATTCAAAAATCATTTTCTACTAAAAGATGCCAAATTGGAAAAATTACCAAGAAGAAAAACAGATAAAGCATATATAATAGCAAATGGTAAACGAATTTATAAGTTGAATGCTGTGGAAACTGATAATCCTGTGATTTTGAAAAGGTTTTTATTTATATTTGTTCAACACAATATTTACATTTAAATCTATATAGTAATAATATAATAATACGCTTGTTCGATTATTTATTTTTTTATAAAAGGCCTGATGGATATGAGAAACAATTTAGATTACATTGTCCAAGATGTAATCTTTTGATTGCTTACGAAATGACAGAGAGACGTAAAAATGGTCAATACACTTATATTGTTGAGGGAAGTTTAACTGAAAATCAAGGTGTTATTCCACACGAATCCATTTTGGATGATTAAAAAAATAATTGGGCAAATCTAATGGATAACTTTAAATTAGTATAAATTTATTTTGGGGAATATATATAAATAAATAACTTTCTATCATAATTAAAAATTTTCATGGAAAGTGCATCTAATTAATAAAAATCAACGTTTGGTCTTTTTCTATCGAAATAACCCCATACAAACATGGAGAATATAACATATTTAAATTAATGACAATGCTGGCTTATTCGTAAATTCTTAACCATGTTTCATGTACGTCTATTATGGGCACGTGATTCATTTTCAAGTCTATACTTTCTTAGATCTTTTGTATGATCTGGCATTTCGGATCCCCATCCTGGAAATCTTATTACCTAAAAATAATCAAATTCACATTTTTTTAGAAATAAATTCTAATAATCTATTATTGTGTCAATATGTAATAAATTAGAATTACCATCGCTGTAATATTATCTTCTGATCCGAGCTCTTCTGCAAAGTTGACTAGTTTCGATGCGCCTACAGTTGGATCATTACAACCTTTTATCTATAAAAAATAATTATAATTTATAATAAATTTATAAATTTAGTTGTGTATTTTATGCATGATATTTAATTATATATGTGTATCTATGTATGATATATTATTAATTAATATAGATTAATATTTTCCAAAATTTAAACATAAAACTCATAAATAATTGATTTTGTCCAGGTTCAACAATCGTCTTTAATTATCGTTTCCTATGTATATTTCTCACTGTAGCAAGGATACAATTTTACAGATTGATATATTTTTTTTTTTTTTTAAAAAAAATCTGCAAATATATACTTGATTAAAAAATATTTTGAAAATATACAAATATCAATAAAAAAATATCCTTACACAATCAACAATTTCTTGATCGCTCATCACAGATGTCACTCCATCAGAGACTAAAACCAAGAATGCTGTATCCATACCAATGACTGTATTAATTTTGATGTCTGGTTCAGCAGACACACCATAAATTTTCATTTTTGAATCACCCATAGATCGAGAAACTGCTAGTTTTCCTAAAAACATTTCTGCACCAAACGAATCTGTTATAATGTATCCACCAGATCTTTGTAATCTGCTGTTTTCAGTTGTGGCACTCGGGTGATGGTCATCTGTTAAACGAATTACTTTCCCTGAAGGTACATCACACATTAGTATTCGAGTGTCGCCAACATGTGCGACAGTTATTTCAAGTTTTTGACTATTCCAAAACGGATGATGATCTAATGGTTTAACAATAACAATTGACGCTGTAGAACCACTTGTATTTCCTGACCCATTTAAAAGTTCCAAATCTGTTTTTAAAAATGCCAATGTGAGGCGTTGTTCAAGTGTAAGAGTCTTTTTTGATTCTAAGGATGATTCCGGTAAATTGGTTTTATTTGTTTCATCTTGTGGTAAGGGTTGTGGTGGTACATTTGTAGTTGTTAAATTTTCAGTAATATTTTTATTTTTATTTTTTTTGTATAATCTTTGTGTCGGTCTATTTACAGGATTAGCTATTTCTGGTTTTAACAAGTTTTTTAAAATATTCGGGTTAAACCTTCGAAAATACCTGTATTTTTAATAAATTCTTATATATAAATTTATGAACTTCAAAAATTTTCAGAGAAAGATGCATTTACAATAAATTTATATACAAACCCTCCAATATTACGCCATTGAACCACTACATCATCTGCATCTTTAGCTGCAACTTCTTCAATTCGGTTGTGAAGATTTGTTGTCAGAAAATCTGCACATTCAGGACCTCCATGACTAATCAGACTTTAAAAATTAACGCATATTTTTTAATTTCAATGACAAATTAAAAACAACACAAACCCGTCAAAGATAGCAAAATAACAAAACTGCCCTTCTTTACTTTCTTCTTCCACTTCAATTCTTGAGACAGGTACAGCATTTATTATATCTATATCAGATTCAACTTTATCTTGAACTATATTTTCAGCAAATTGTTTTAATTTATCTTCATTTAATTCTAATACCATAACTTGACAACGATCCTCATTGGTCTCTCTAATGCCACGAGTTGTGCTTTTAACAATAAATAAAAAAAAAAACTTATTTATATGTGATGGAAATATATTCAAATATTATTAATACCAACAACTACCTCAACCCAACTAAATGTTTAGATTTTGCAACGTGTAGACGATAATTTTCGCCTTTCTGTGATTTTGCAAAATAATATTCTTGTGCATTACACATTGTAAAATTATTGAAAAATCTAAAATGAAATTTTGTAGTATGAAATTTACTATAACTCTTTAGTGATAAATGTCTACCATAGTTTTTATATGAAAACAAAAGTCGTCGGAAGTTTGCCATTCCAAATGACAAAAACTAAATTTTTTGAAAGAATAAATTTTCTATTGGAGAACATTAGATAAATATATATTTCTATATTAATAAATAAAAAAAAAAGTATTAGTATATTAGTATGATAACATGCCATTTTCGCTGATCATCACCAAAAATATTATTTTACCCAAGTTATAAAAAATGAATAGTAAAGTTTGATAATTATTTGTTAATAATCATTGTTATATTTCTTTAATATATTTCTAATTATTATTGGCACCATAAGGAAAGGATCGTATTTGGAGTTCAGCTTTAAGAACAACAATAACGGCACACACAACTATTGATTTCAACAAGTATTTTATAATAAGTTTTATGTTTTAATCTTCTTTAGTATAATCAATCTAACCTTTTTATATTTATTTATTTGCAAGTGATTTATTTATGATACTATATCTTTCTGAGATAAATAAAAAAGAAGAAATAAATGTTTCAATTGATGATGATGATGTAACAGTAACAATTGAAACAACAAATTCAGAAGAACTTGTCACTCCACTTAAAGTCAAGTAAATTTAAAAATTTTATTCACACACATTCAAAGTTGATTATTCATTTTATTTTATTTATTTAAAAAGAATTGATCCAAGTAAAGGTGTAGACATTGATATTGAAAATGGGATGGTGAAAATCCACTTTAAAAAGAAGGAAATGGGAAAGAAAAGATTAACAATTAATTAATTATATATTTTATATAAACAAAAACTTTAACCCTTGATTCTTAAATTGGGGTATGTTGTAACAAAACCAGACAAAAAAGAAAAGGACTATGGTGGAATTTTAGATAATGATAATCTTTTAAAAAAAGATGTGATCAAAATTTGTTAAATTAACCAAAAAATATTCTAATAATGAAACAAAAAGTTAGAACCAGTCGGAAACCCTCTCCCATTTTTATTTTTAAGCCATTAAATTCAAATGATGCCGACTTGTATTATACTTTCAGAAAACTTCTTTAATTTATTTATTTTCAATTAAAATAGGAATTATTCACATAAAAAAATCAAGCTGCACTATCCTTATCAGTAATTTAATTCAACAAAATGCCTAAAAAAACACATTTATAATGTAAACAAAAAATTGATGAAAAATAATTAATCTAATAAAGCTAGAACAACCAAAACAAGTCAAACATATTAATTGATAAAAAGGCTGAGCTGGAATCGGATATTCATTCGTGAGTTGCCTGGATAATCGCTGTCTCCACTATAAAGAACTTCTACCAACGAAAAACCAATTTTAAGAAGTAAAAGATGGAAGATAATGATGATCGTTATTGTAAAGAAGACAAAGTGATTGAAGATATTAATATTAGTAGTAGTATTGTTGATAATGTTCATAAAAAGATAGTATAGTTTGCATCAGAGTAATCAAAGAACAGGTAATGCTCATCAATGGTTTTTGGTATTTCCTCCCATACAATTTCTTGGTGGTTTTTATCTTATAGTTTGTATATATGTTGTTATGTAACTTACTGTGTATCAGTTGAATCGAAAAAACACGATTTTTGTTGTTTTAATCCTTGATAAAAAAATAATACGAATATTTCGTTAGTCCAAAATGTTTAGTGTGTGTAATTCAAAACTTTTACCTAGATTATTAACTAGAAAATAACATAAACAATTATACTATTAATCGTTAGTGGATATTTCACTTCTAATATAGCTTCATTTTTTTTATCTTCATGCTATTAAGAAAATTTTTCTTCAAAGGTCAAATAACAATATCCATTTTATTTATTCGCCAACACTCATGCGCCCGAGCATTCTTTTTGATAATTTAATTCCCATATACATATATAATGTTAATATAGATGTCTTTAACGTTTCGGATGTTTTCCTTTTATTTGGTGATCTTTGCCAAATTGATGCTCTTCGCTGATTCTTGCTGGCACATGCTTCCGTTTGCATGTTGATGACCGCAAACTTGACCAAACAAGCCAATATTAATGCATCTACTCAGTATTATGCAATTCTGTAACTGGAAACATAAAATAAAAGATGAAAGATTTAGTGATTTGTTTAAGACTTGCAAATCCATATTCATAAATCGCGTAGCGAATAATACAACAAATATTCTTGAGTATGCAAAGAATAATGTTGCAATGATGCTCTGTATAAATAGTCTGAATATCTTATAAAGGTTGCAATTTTTTATTATGCAGTTGCAAATAAATGTATAATTTCTTTTATTCGCATTATAATATATAGAAGAGAATGATTTTGTTTAATCCATCTTACTATAAAAAATTTTATCTACCACACAATATCAATCTTCAAAACTCATCAATTCATGAGCTATCATTTCTGGACTTTCAAATTTATTAATATTTTGGGTAATTTAAGTTTTACAACTTCTGGACGTAAAAAGACAACCTTAGTTTAGTGACAATAGTTTTGATATATGATCAAGTAAAACAGCTTGTTGGGTTATGTACTCGGTCGTGGAATTTTTATTCTTCTATTTTAAATTTAATTGGAACATTGTCTCAGTAAGTAATAATCTTTGGTTTAGTCATAACACTCATATAAAGCATGCGCATGCACGAATCATTTTTTTTTACACAGATATCACTGTTGTATGTGAAATTGAATTGATTACTATGTGAAGATATGAAATTCTGATTGGCTAATTTGAATTTCACATATGTAAAATGCAAATTCACATAGATTTCATTTTTTCACGCACAACATCACCATAAACATTATTTATTTCCCAAGATATATCTGTATATCTATTTGTATTTAATACATTAAAAAAAAAAAACTCTATTTGTGAATTAATAAAAAAAAAAAGCCATTATTGATACAATTCATTTAGTGTGGTTAAGTCAATCTGATAGGAATCTAAAAAATATTAATATTAATATAATGTAAATATTAATATCAAACTTTAAGATTATTAAAAAAATAAACTAGTTGAATAATAATTAAATGAATGAACGATAATAATTACCATTGTGATTACTAATAATTGTAACTTTAGTTGAGTTTACAGGCTGTGGAAGATTTGTAAAATTAAAAAATCTACTGGTGTAAACAGCATTTGGATGCATAGTTGACTTGATTGTTGAAGGATCAAAACTCATTGCATCCATTTCATTAAATAAATTTGTAGATAGACTTAATTGATCACATTGTTCTTTAGAATATTTAGCATGTTTAGAATGATATGTGCCATCAAATGCATCTTTCCAAAATTCAATGATATCTTTAATTTTTTTAGCGGATGGTCGTTTATCTGGACTGGCATCCATACATTGATATGCTAATTTTATGTAAAACCTAGGAGTGTTGTTTGAAAAACAAGGTCTCAACCCCTCGCCACAGATTACCATTGCAAGATCTGCCTCATGGGCCAAATTACTGAATGGCCTTAGACCAGTTGACACTACCGACATCAATACTCCAAAACTGTAAATGTCTGATGCCATCGTATATGGTTTACCATTTAGAACTTCTGGTGCAATATATGGTAATACGCCAAATATACTGTTTCTATTTGTTGATGATGTTTTACCAACTGGAGTTGATAATCTTAAATCTGTAATATATGAAAATATATTCTGAGAAAACTTTTCCTGAAGGATATTACCGCCATGAAGATCTTGATGAACAAAGTTTTTAGCGTGAATTATTTCTAAACCACTGATAATATCAGAAAGAATTCCTATTTTATCTTTCCATTTTAAGATGTTGAAATTTTTTGTTAAATAATTAAGGTTTCCATTTTTTATATATTCCATCACAAATATATATTTGCTTGTAAATGGGTCTTGTGTCAATCCATAAATATGAATTATACGATATCTACCATAAAATTTAACATAGTTCCTGAGCTAAAAAAAATAGGTCGAGTAAATATTAAATTACAATGATAATGATAATGATAATGAAAAATTTCAAACAACAAGTAAATAACTTACCTCATTTAAAAAATCATTTGAACTATGTGGTTTTTTCAATGCAACTGTCTTGTCTCTAACATATCTTTCATTAGTAGAGCGATACCCTTTATAACCGTTTTTCCAAGTAGCTTTGTATATAGTTGAAAAACTACTTTCACTTATTTTTTGAGCTACCATTAAATCATTATAAGGAATCCATTGGAGATAATTATAACTGCCATAGCTTGTTGCTTTGATTTGTGTACTTTTAATTAATTCATCTATCATTTCATTACCGCTGGTCCATTTTTGAGTTATTTTTTTTGGATCACATGATTGACACCATGAATAATAGGTATTATATCTGTTACAAGCTATACAAATACCATATTTTTTCTCCCTTACATTTGAATATTCATCGTTTGAATCAATAATAACATTTTGATGTTCATTTCCATTTTGATGCTCATTTCCGTTTCCATTTTCATGTTCGTATACATTTTCATTTTCGTTTACATTTTCATTTTCGTTTTCATTTTCTTTTACATGTGCATGTATACGTTTATCATTATTTGAGGTTTTCTTGATCTTGAATATTTTTTTGATTTTATTCATTTTGATTTATATATAATAAATTGTTTTTTTTCTTTTCTTTTTTTTTTTTTTTTACGAAAAATTTAAAATTAAAAGGTTCATTTTTTTAAAAATGGAAAAAATAAATGGCGAATATTTTATACAAATATTTACAATTGTGGAATAGTGAAACATTGTTTAAACTTCTTTAGTACTAATGCCAGGAGATCATAACATTAGTATATAGTAATAGTAAATACAAACAAATAAATAAATAGGAACGAATAAATAAATAAACAATTAGTGTTTAATAATAAACTTGTTAGGAAATTCTTTCGGTATGTCAGCCTGACAATATAAAAATATTAATATATTTAATATAATTAAATTTTAATAAAATCTAAATAAATAATTGATTATTTACCCTTGTGATTGCCAATTATTGTAATTTTTTTTGAATTAATAGGTTGTGGAAGATTGGTAAATTTTAATAACCTACTAGTGTAAATAGCATCCGGATGTAGAGTCGTTGTTATTGTTGAAAGATCATAATCTACTTGATCCATTTCATCAAATGCGTTTTTGATTGATTTCGCCTCATCTTTTTCTTTGGAATAACCATGCAAAAGGAAAACATCGTCAGATAATAATGAATAATGCCAAAAATTAATAATTTTTACAAGTTTTTCAGCGGTTGGTCGTTTGTCAGGATTAGCATCCATACATTGGTGTGCCAATTTAATATAAAACTTTGGAGTGTTGATTGAAAATCCAGGTCTTAGTCCTTTACAAATATCAAATGCGAGATCTGAATTATGAGCCAAATGACTAAATGGTTGCTGTCCCGTTGATACTACTGACATCAATACTCCAAAACTATAAATATCTGATGCCATGGTATATGGTTCACCATTTAAAACTTCTGGTGCAATATATGGTAATACACCAAATATACCGTTTTTGTTTGGTGGTAATGAAGGTTGATTAGCTGGATGTGAAAATCCTAAATCTGCAATATATGAACAATTGTCCACACCCTTCTCTTGAAGAATATTACCACTATGGAAATTTCGATGAGGAATCTTTTGTTGGTGAATCACTTTTAAACCATCAATAATATCAAAAAGGATCTCTGTTTTTATTTTCCAATTTAAATTTTTAAAGTTGTTTGATAAATAATTTTGAAGGCTCCCATATTCTGCATATTGCGTTATAAGTATAT